TATATATTAACAGGTGGTAATGTGGAATTAAATTAAATTATTTAATTAAAATCTTAAACTGAAATTACATAAAGCACTATATCATAAAATGAGAAGCTAAAGAAAAAACATTTGTGTGTTTACATATGCAGCAGTGACGCTGAACTAGTTTAACGTTAACGGTTACCTGCAGGTGTTTAAAGTGATCAATCACATTCACAGTCAGTCTGTCACTCACCTTCACATCCTCCGACATATCTCACGATCTTTATCAACATGTTATCGAGTTTTGTGACTCGTTAAAGGTAAACATGCTGCATGCTAACTGCAGCTAGCGCTCTCTGAGCCGACACCCGACAGGCGGCGCTGTGACGTCACGCCGCGAGCGGAAGTAGACGCCCGCGATATTCACATAGAAAACAGCTGTTTGAAATTATAATAATATTTCACATTTTTACTGTATTTTTGATCAAATAAAAAGACAAAATATGTATGTACTGTACAAACAAGATGACCTACATACAGATATAATTATGCTAGGGGTTATGAAAAAGAAAGGGGAAGGATATGTTAAAATAAAAATAGAAATAGTGTGTTTTGCACGTTTTTATTTCTTTTGTTTTTATGCTAACTGCAGCTAGCGCTCTCTGAGCCGACACCCGACAGGCGGCGCTGTGACGTCACGCCGCGAGCGGAAGTAGACGCCCGCCGCCGGAAGTGTCGTGTTCACAGAAACGCTCATCAGCGTTTCGCGTCCAAGAGTTCAGAATCAAACGTGTGCGTTTCAAACGCGAATTAAAGCCGGGAGAATCGGAAGATATGGCGCATTTAACGACAAACCCAGCGGATAAAGAGCGGTCAGTTCGACGGACAATTCAATACTTTATATGTCTGATTACAACTGTAACGTTAACACAATTCAGCTGCAAAACTCTGATGAAAATACATGTAAATACTGTGCTAATCACTCAGTGCCGTGTGTGTGTGTGAGAGTGAGAGTGTGTGTGTGTGTGAGAGAGTGTGTGTGTGTGTGCCTGTGTCAGTGTGTGTGTGTGAGTGCATGTGTGTGTGTGTTTAATCTCTGTGTGTGTGTGTTCAGGCTGTGGAGAACCCGTCGTGTGCTGAGATCCGGGACGTTCTCACCGCTGCTGGACTCAATGTTCTGCTGGAGGTCTGATCATCGGTTTATATATGCGCTGATTCTCGTATTTAGTGTGGATGTGAAATCATGACATCACTCTTTCAGAACAAGATGTATCCGCGCGAATGGAACCGAGACGTTCAGTTCAGAGGGAGAGTGCGGATTCAGCTCAAACTCGAGGACGGAAGTTTGTGCCAAGACAAGTTTGCATCTAGTAAGCTATGCATTCGTTACATTGAATAATTAGTTTTCAAATAGGGCTGCAAGATTTGGGGGAAAATAAATAGCATTTTTTTCCTGATGAAAACCATGACTGCAAATAAAAAGAAAAATTCCAGGTTTGCTCTGCTTGTTTTTAGGGCTGCCAAAATGTTGTGGTTATACAAAATATTAATTATATTTAATAATAATAAATGATGATAATAATTGTTTAAAATATTATTTTATTATTACCCTATTGTTTATTACTACTCTAACCCTAAATAAAAATATATAAATTATTAAATAAAAAAATAAGTATTACTGTTGTAATATTAAATATATTTATATATAATATAAATTATATGAATATAAATATAGACATGCAAATACATGTGTCATTATGTCTTAGATGCAACATTTCTGAACCGCATACTGTGGTGTATAATAAAGGGAAATGACGTCAGTCTTCTCTCTGTCTTTAGGGAAAGATGTGATGTTTTATGTGGCGGAGATGATCCCGAAACTGAAGAGCAGAACGCAGAAGAGCGGCGGCGCCGAGGCCGGATCACAGCAGGGAGAAGGAGGGAAGAAAGGAAAGAAGAAGAAGAAGTAGATGATGATTTGTTTGTGAAACGGCTCGGTTTTGGTTCCCTTTTTGACTTTTTCATTATAGACACTCTCTGGCACCCGATGGACTTTCATTTGATTATTGTTTGGTTTGTAATATTGGATGACCTCTGACACTTTCAACAGCGACACAGAGGGGTTTGTGTTCATTACGGATGGTGGATTGTGTTTAAACGAGCGCTGACAGAGCTTGAAATACATGTCAGTTTTTGTCAGCTCGTGTCCTTCATCGCACCTGTTCACCTCTATATTTCCATCGCTCTGAATGTGTGAAATAAAGAGAGCGGAGCAGCACTCGGTGACTGTGTGTTTATTGAGCTGCACTCATCTGTGTGTCACAGTTAGTTCAGTGCTGGATTTCCCCCGCGATTGTCGCCAAAATTCTTCAGATGTTTGGTCCGGAGGTCCAGTCTGGTGAGCCACTCGTCACGCAGCCTGAAATCACACGGTTAAACCTTTACAACAGAACGCATTACTGTAGAGTTCATGCGTGTCAATCAGTGCAATCCGTATTTATATATACATAATAAATATACACTGTACACACACATATAGTATGTAAACAAACTTTTATTTTGAATTAATCGTGATTAATCGTTTTGCAGCTGTAGTTTCAAGCATATTGAACTAGTGTTCAAAAGTTTGAGGATTTTTAAAATGTTTTTGAAAGAAGTCTGTTCTGCTCACCAAGACTGCATTTATTTGATCAAAAATACAGTAAAAGAATTAGAATTTACAATAACTGTTTTCTATGTGAATATCTGTTAAACTGTAATGTATTTCTGTGATCAAAGCTGTATTTTCAGCATCATTACTCCAGTCTTCAGTGTCACATGATCTTCAGAAATCATAATAATATGCTGATTTGCTGCTCAAGAAACATTTCTGATTATTATCAATGTTGAACACATCAATATTTGTGTGGAAACTGATACATTTTATTTTTCAGGATTCACAGATGAATAGAAAGTTCAACAGAACAGCGTTTTTTTCAAATAGAAATGTACTGTAACATTATAAATGTCTTTAATGACACTTCTGATCAATTTAATGCATCCTTGCATATACACACAAAAAAAACTACAGAAATATATATAGAAGTATATATATATATATATATAAAGTGTAGTGTATTATATAATGGCTGATGTTGGATGTGAGATCAAACAGTAGCTTTAGTAATTCTCTGAATTCGCTGTAACAGAAGTATAATTGACTGTACGTGAGAAATACAGTTGAATATATTTGTACACCTGTTGCCGTCTCAACATGGATTATTGTATTTGAGGGCCGTTACTCTGATAATCTTCTGTCCTCAGCAGGACGCAGTTATTAAATACGCACCCTCAGATTCCAGATTTTCAAATATTGTCCGATCCTAACAAACCATACATCAATGGAAAGATTATTTATTCAGCTTTCAGATGATGCATAAATCTCAATTTTGAAAAATTGACCCTTATGACTGGTTTTGTGCTCCGGGGTCACACATGTGAAATCAAACAGAAAAAAGACAATATAATATAGAGTGTTTTTTACTTGCAATTATTCTGGATTATATTATATTATTATTATTATCCAGTTATTATTATTATTATTATCATCCAAGAGTAAAAATATCACTTCTACACCGCATAAAAACGATTCAGTATTTTTGTCTTGTTTTCTATTATAAATATCTAAACATGCATGCATCTAGATACATTTACCTGAAAAGCCAAATGACATATAGATATATAGTCTTGTTTTCTAAAAAATGTATAAATTTTTTTTTTTCCTCTTAAAACAAGAATCTAGATTTGGATATTTATACTAGAAAACAAGACAAAAACACTGAGTAAGAAAGTCATTTCTTGCAGCGTAATTGTTTTACTATCAATCTAAAAGACCAATGATATTATATTGTGATGTAACTGATTTCTGAGACTTACTTGGTGAGAGCGCTCCTCTTCATCCTCTCTTCTTCAGTTTCTGTCATGTGATTGTGATTGTTGATCTTTTGCTCCCAGAATGACTTGATGAAGAGTTTGTCATGAATGAGAGCAGAACTCATCTCCTGTGAAGAGCACAAACGAATCAATCACCTCTGATCATCACAGATCTGAGCGTATATGTTCTCTCTGTTCGTTTACCTGATTGTGTAAAGATCAGCACAGAGGAAGAGTGATCTTCATCGTCCAGACGCGAGTGCCGTGTCTGACTGGAGTGTCATCAGCACCTCTAATGATGTTCCTGAGCTCCTCCTCGGGTTTATTTCAGAAGCGACTCTTCTCGTTGGGATGGGCGGCACACATTCACTTCTAAAACACTCTCTCCTCACAGCTGCTGGAAGCTTCTGCACTGCAAACATCGTGTTCTTCCTCAGGATTTCCATATACAAATATCTAAAGGGTTTTTGCTTAAAACAAGAAAAATATCTACTAATGTGGTCGGAATAATAATCTTGTCTAATGTGAAAACTGTAAATTTATAGCATTCAGCTTTTAATGTGTCAGCTTTTCTAAAATCTTTGTAAAAATTATTTTATTGCTATTTATCTATTATTATTATTAATTTATTTTTATTATTACTATTTATTTTTTATATATACATATTTTTATTTTATGATTATTATTATATATATTTTTTTTTATTATTATTTTTATTTTTTTATTT